GACCCTGTCTCAAAAAAAAAAAAAAATAGTAACAGAAAAATGAGAATTTTGTTTTTTGGGGTTTTCTCTTTGTTTTTGTTTTTTTGAGACAGAGTCTCATTCTGTTGCTCAGGCTAGAGTGAGTGCCATGGCATCAGCCTAGCTCACAGCAACCTCAAACTCCTGGACTCAAGCGATCCTCCTGCCTCAGCCTCCCGAGTAGTTGGGACTACAGGCATGTGCCACCATGCCCGGCTAATTTTTTGTATATATATTAGTTGGCCAATTAATTTCTTTCTATTTATAGTAGAGACGGGGTCTGGCTCTTGCTCAGGCTGGTTTCGAACTCCTGACCTGGAGCAATCCACCCGCCTTGGCCTCCCAGAGAGCTAGGATTACAGGCGTGAGCCACCGCGCCCGGCCTTTGTATATTGTTAATTTTTCTCTTTTCCCAATCTGATTAGTGAAAAATAGTTTTAATTTCCATTTGCATTTACCTGAACATGAGTAAAGCCGAGAATGTCTCCATAGATTTATAGGATGCTAGCATATCTTTTTCAGAGAACTTCCTGTCCAGCTCTTCTGCCCATTTTTCCACCGAATTATTACTTTTTCTTAGTGATTTGTATATTCTTATGACTTCAAGAACATGGCCCTTTGACATAAGTGTTAAGAAATATTTTCCCAGATTGAAATGCATTTTTTTTGTCCTTATTTTTTGCCATACAGAAGGCATTGATGTTTATGAATTCGTATGTAGTACTATTATATTTTGCATTGTAGCTTGGATATTTTCCTTAAAAGACTTTCTTTTCTCAAAGAAAAACAAGTATTAACTGCATCAAAGTCTTAACAGTTATGATCCGTTTGTGTAAACTTATATATGTATACTTCATACATACATACATATGATATACACACATGTATATAGACAGACATATACATATGATATACATATATGTGTATACATAGACTTATATACTCATATATAAAGACACATATATACCAATACATATATACACATAAACATGTGTACATATTCACCCATATATACATAGAAATGCACATATACACATATGCACATATACACATAAACATATATACACATAGACACATACGCATATACATACATTTACACAGATATATACACAAATGCATGTATTACACACATAGACACAAACTTACAGACATACATACATGAAAATATGTATGGGATGGGTGGCACTTGCTTTTTACAATTCTGTACTGTTTATATTTTTTTTTACTTTTTTAAAATTATTTTTTAAATATTTTATTTTATTTTATTTTCTCTTTTTACCAAATGGGTCACTGGGAATGAGTGTACTGTTTAAATGTCTAACACTCTGCATATCTTATTTTAAAATGTCTACAGGGGGCGGGGTGCGGTGGCTCACGCCTGTAATCCTAGCACTCTGGGAGGCCGAGGCGGGCAGATCGCTCAAGGTCAGGAGTTTGAAACCAGCCTG